ACTATATACTCTCTCTCTCTCTCTCTCTCTCTCTCTCTCTCGCTAATAATCATTCTGCTGGCATCCTAACAAGTTGCAGTGATTAATATCAGAACTTTCATCTGCATTGGCAGGAACAATCTGGTCCAACATATCCTGATTGGGCAACAGCTTTCCAGGTTCTTCAATTTTCTAGATTCTGTGTTTCTCATCTGTTAGGCATGTTTATTTAATTCTTCGAGTGTTAATAAAATGTGAATATGAAGTTTAATGTAGCATGTATTCTTCTTATCTCCAGGCATACTATGGGCCAGGAGTGAGTCTGCCGCCTCCATATTTTGGCTCAACAATTCCATCTGGTCACACACCTCATCCTTACATGTGGGGCCCGCAGGTATCTGGTGTTGTTGTAATTATATTAGTGGAGGAAAAATTTAGTAGTAAACTTGTGAATCTGTCCATGCATGTTTAACCCAAAAGAAGTGAACACGCATAGAAGAGCTTGGACATGAGTGAATTGTGTGACTTTTTTGAAATAAAGAGGCCAAAATGCTATCGATATTGGTCCAGAGGTTTAACACCAGTGCACTGTTTGGTTTGTTAAATGATTGGAGTTTGGTTTGGTTTTATATTTTGCTTTTGTTTGTTTATTTATCTCTTCTTGAGGGTATGGCAAGTAATTTTTTCTTGACTGTATTTGGAAAACCACACTTAGGATCATTATTTCCTATCCCTTATTAACATTTTACCTGTCTTTTGGTTCTGTTGTTAGTGAATTTGAACGTGTGCTTGTGTCCAATTAATTCATTTAGAATTAGCAAAGGTAACTATGCAGGTTCATTAATTGAAGTATTTATTTTGTGCTTTTTGTTGTGCATCAGCCTTTGATGCCGCCTTATGGTACACCAGCTTATGCAGCAATTTACTCACATGGAGGGGTCTATGCTCACCCTGCAGTGCCTCTTGTATGTTTGGTCATTTGAGGGATTATTATTCGTGCTGATTTTCTGAAGGATTTTGTTTTTGCCATTATTTAACTATAGCTAATCCTGTCAAAGTGTGAAGGACAGTTTTTTCTATTTGTTAGCACATCAGGAAAATAAAGCTCTTCTATATCTGAAACATATCGTGTTTCGGCCTGAGACAGGGTTCACATGCGCATGGACATGGAGTTGCTTCAACTGGCATGGCGATTGAAGCTATGGTACTGAGCCTGTTGACATGCTTGTCCTTAATCTTTGTCATCCAAGAAATTAAGTAATTTATCGTTGTTAAAAAAATCAAGATGCCTATCTCTGATATTTTAGGCATGATCTTGCAATATTGCGACTATGAAGTGAGTATAAAAGATACATTTTACAGATTAATGGAAGAGACAGATTATAAAGAATAATTCATGATGCCCTATCTCTTATGTCATCAATCACTTATTTATTTTTTCATTTATTTTCCAACTAACAGATATGCTTTGTCACAGCCTGCGGGTCCAATGGGCTTAGAAACACAAGCCAAGTCCTCCAGTAGTAAAGACCAAGGGGGCTTGATGAAGAAGTTAAAAGGTTTTCAGGGGGTTACGGGCGCTTCTGGCAATCGCAATCGCAATGGCAATGCCAATGGTAATGGCAATAGTGGAAGTTTACAGGGAGGCATGGTGTGTGGAACATCACAAAGGTTTGTATACTATATCTCATTCATCAAACATGAATGAATGGCATGCCGGTGCAAGATCAAGTCATTGATTTTCAATTGATGCAGTGGGGAAGACGGCATTGAAGGTTCAAGCGATGGGAGTGATGGGAATACTGCACAAGAAGTTTGTGATTCTTTTACTTTTCCTTTTTAACAATATGGTGTGATATATATTTTCCAATTTCATAGATAGTGTACTTGTGTGTGTGCATGCATGCGAGCGTTGCAGGCTTAAAAACACACACTTTCAAGATGAACACTAAGGCATTAGCTCTCTGGAAAGTCGTTATTGTATTCTTCATTTGTTTCTTGTCATGGGAGTTGGTTGCTGTTGTTTACTATCTTCTAATATTATACTAGAGGGTGCTTTTTATATTTCATTTGTCTTTATTTGTATTTATTTGGTCTTTTTAATATATGCATGGATATTGAAATTGTTCTCCATTTCTTATAGAACAAAACTATGATGTGTTCCAATTTGGGAATGTTGATTCTTGTTTGTTTTGCCACGCGTTCTGACAACACGCTAAACTAGTATATCCGGCAAGAATGCTATGGAATGCATAAACACGCCTTTTGATTTTTGTTTGTGTGCATTTGTCAGGAAACTCGAATTGGAAGAAAAAGGATTGGTGGAAACATGGAAGGTAAAGGTGTGTTCCTTTCTTTTTTTATTACAATTCGGCATTTTTCCCTTTTCTGGCACCAATATTCTTTTGGAAAAATATAGCTCTAAACTAGTCTGCCATCTGAAGGCATGGTTCATTCTTTAGCAACTTCAAAATACCATTCTGAGAAATGTCAGATAGTAATAGGTTGTTTTTCCTGTATCATGGACTTAAATATTTCTATTCTTGTAAAATTTACAGTTCTTTCGATTGCTGCTGACTTCTGTGTCTTCAATTAGGACCTTTAGTTGCATAATGTAAGGTTGAGATTAGTTCTTTTTCTTTCGATGTGTTGTGCAAACCAAGACCCAAGATATTCAAAGCCTATCATGCCAGTTTAGTTGCACTAGTATGCCCCCTGAGTTTCAAGTGATAATGGTTCATCAAGGCTTAATCCTATTCGGCAATGCATATTGTGCTGCTAATGATCTAAGTGAATTGGACTCATAGAGACTGTCTGGTGTGAGTGCAATAAATACCACCAATTATGATAGACATAGATATCACTAAAGCACAGATTACTTGCATGTGGAGGTGTTCTTATATCTATTGTTTTGCAGGTCTGTAGTATATAGTAGCGGCTGTTCAAAGTACCATCTGTGCAAAGCTACATGATTGTTTAACTTTTTGATTTGCCAATGTCCTTGTATTGCTAGTCACTGTATGTTTGATTTATATAGAGTTCAGTTTGAGGACATTGATGTAGAGCAGTTTTTAACACTTACCCGGTACGCTAGGGACTCAACCAAAACCTAGCACATCGCAGCAAGTCGTCGGTTCGCCAACTCAGCAAAAGTTAGAGGAAAGTCTAGCCATCTTTTGTCTTTGAAGAGATTCAACTGCGTCTTATCGGCATTGGCTGAGTCGAGTTGATAAAGGCATAATTAGTCTGAATTTAACCCAGTTATGTTGGTGATTTTACAAACTTGGTATCTGTTACCCTTACTTTATTTGTCTTTTTACCCTACTGTTTATGTTTGTGCTTGGGTTTATACCAAGGTAGGTTCAAAAGCTTCTAGATTCTGGAGTAGGTTTCGGGTGGGAGGAGAAGTTCAAATTTTGGAATTCGATTGTAAATTTTAGAGTTAGATCAGATAGTGTGTGTGTATGTGTGTGTATATATAGGTGGTGGTATTTAAAAAAAAAGAAGAGAAAATAGACTTATCTAGTGCTAGTTTGGATGTACCCAAAATTGCAATATTTTTGGATTGCAATCCAAAAATCTTGTGAAATAGATTTGAACCGTTTGGAGAACCACAAGATTTTACTGGATTTTTAGATTGAAATAAAAAATTCTGCAGTCTCAAAGTAAAAGTTTCCGTAAAAAAAAAAATTCAAGTCGGACTTGAATTTTTTTATTGAAAGTGCGGCTCTCACACCCGTGCAAACCCCATCTTGTGACCTAACAACCCACACCGTGACATCTCAGAAACCCCAAATCTACTCTCTCTCTACCTCATAAACCCCAAATCTACTCTCCTTCTCTACCTCAGAAAACCCAAATCTACTCTCTCTCTACCTCAGAAACCCCAAATCTACTCTCTCTCTAAAGTACGTCAACCCGAAATCTTCAAAGGAAAATCCACTTGTCACAAAGAAATTCTGAAGGAGAACCACTCGAGTTTCTGTTTGCTCACAGAAGTTCCACAACTGGCTGGACTAAAGCCTGTTTGTCTCTCTCGAGAATGGCCAAGCTCCTCCCCTCTCTCTCTCTCTCATTTTTAAAATCAGGGGCAGACTCTCATCATACCTCCAAAAGAGAGGTAAAAGAGGAAGCTCAAATAAGGCAGAGAAGATGAGAGAAGAAGAACAACAATAACAGGAGCTTGGGTCTCTTATTAAAGGGGAGAAGAGAAGAGGGAATCAAGGAGATCTTTAATTCACGAACTTGGGTCTCTTGTTAAAAGGGAGAAGAGAAGAGGGAAGCAAGGAGATCTTTAATTCACCATTACGTTTGCTCCATTCTTTTGCTCGTGGATTTGTGGTTGCATCAAGGTTAGAGGGAGAAACCCGCAACAAGGTGTGAGTGTTAATTGCTAGTTATCCCCTTCTTGTTGAGGGAGAGAATCGCAGAAAGAAAAATAGACTTTTAACACCCAAACGGCTTTATAAGGAAAGAAAAAAGGCTTGGTATTTTTTGCAATTGGTATTTGAAAAACTGTATTTTTATTGGATAACAATTTATTTTTATTTGACATCTAAACTGGCCCTTAGCGATAAATTAATTGAAGATTGGAAAATGAAACTATGAAAATGATGTCAATGTAATATGGAGTGAGATGGTTGACTGTATCAAGAAAGTGCTAAAAGAAGTTTTAGGAGAATTTAGAAGGAAAAGAAATTTCGATAAGGAAACATGGTGGTGGAGTGATGAGGTTCAAAATGCCTTTAGCGAGAAATGATCATGTTATAAAACTTGGTAGTGTAATATAAATGATCAAAACTTAGAAGAATATAAAAATGCTAAGAAAAACGCTAAACAAATAGTAGGTAAGTCTAAACTTAAGGCATATGCTAATCTATACAGTAAACTGGGAACAAGAGAAGGTGAAAAAGATGTCTTCAAATTAGCAAAAATAAGAGAAAAATGTAAGATCTAAACCATATTAAATGCATTAAGACTCAGGATAAAAGGGTCTTGGTGAAGGATGATGAGGTCAACGAAAGGTGGAGAGTTTATTTTCAAAACCTTTTAAATAAAGAACACATTGATAACATAGCGGTAGAAGGAACTGTTGGTGTATATGATGATGGAGGTCATAGATACATTTGTAGAATTAGGATGTCGGAAGTGAAAGAAGATTTGAAAATGATGAATGTAGGAAAGGCTTTAGGACCAGATGGTATCCGGATAGAGGTTTGGAAGTGCATCAGGGAGATTAGCATTGAGTGGCTGATGAAGCTGTTCAACAAGGTGTTGAGAACAAAGAAAATGCCAGACGAATGAAGGAAAAGTATTGTGGTACCTCTTTACAAAAACAAATGAGACATATAGAATTGTGCGAACTATCGAGAGATGACGCTTATGAGCCATACGATGAAGCTCTGGGAGAGAGTGATTAAGCAACGACTAAGGCATGAAATGAGTGTATTTGAAAACCAATTTGGTTTTATGTTAGGAAGATCAACAACCGAGGCTATTTTCCTACTTAGACAACTGATTGAGAAGTTTAGTGTAAAGAGAAAAGACTTCCATATGGTATTTATTAATCTAGAGAGAATTTATGATAGAGTGCTTTAAGATTTGATTTGGCGGGAGTTGGAAAAAAAGAGTCTTCAGACTCTACATCGACTTGGTGAGAGATATGTACGTTGGAGGGCTAGCTAGTGTACGAACAACTAGTGGAGAGATGAGTGAGTTTTCAGTGACAATAAGTCTACATCAAGGGTCAGCATTGAGCTCGTACATCTTTGTTTTAGTTATGGACGACTTAACTAGGCATTTATAGGATGAGGTATCATGTTGCATGTTGTTCGCAGGTGACAGTTTCGATTGATGAGACCTGAAATAACGTCAACATAGTTAGAACTTTGAAGGAATGCTTTAGAATCCAAAGGTTTTAAAATTAGCCGGACTAAGATAGAGTATATGGAATGCAAGTTTGTAATAATAGGAGTAGAGACGTGGAATAGTTAATATTGACGGCCAAGAAGTACAAATAAGATTGCACTTCCGATATCTTGGGTCGATAATCCAGGATAATGGAGAGATTGAGGAAGATGTCGTACGTGTAATTAGAGCTGGATGGGGGAAGTGGAGATGTGCAACTAGCATTTTATGTGATCAACGCATACCAACAAAGCGGAATGACAAGTTTTATAGGACAGCTGTGAGAGGGCAGAATGTCGGGCAAACAGAAAACAATATACTTGTAGAATGAGTGTAGTGGAGATGATGATGTTGAGATGGATGAGTGAGAAGACAACGAGGGATAGAATTCAAAATGAATCCATTCGGAAAAATTTAGGTGTAGCACCAATCGACGATAAGATGAGCGAGAGTAGACTTCGGTGAGATGACTATGTGTGGTGCCGACCCAGAACAACACCTGTTAGGAGGTGCGAGTCAATTCAAGTGGAAGGATTGACACGGGCAAGGGGTACACCCAAAAGAACGTGGTTGGAAGTAATCCGAAAAGATATGGGGACTTATGGCCAAACTGAGGGTATGGTATTTAATAGAGCAGATTGGCAGACCAGGATTTGTGTAGCCGACCTCAAATAATTGGGTAAAGGCTATGATGATGATGATGATGATATATATATATATATATATATATATATATATTAGATGGTTAGTATTTCAGCTGAAATTCATTTTAAATTTTGAAAAATAAAATCCATCCACAAAAGGACGTGTGCTGAGAGTTATTTCATCTTCCATTAAAGTTTTAGGGTGTGATGGTCACTTATGGAAGTCAGCCTTTATGATTCTTTCTGTGTGGACCAAGAGAACAGACCTGAAATTCACTTGTATTTGATATATGGAAAGTATTTTTTAGAGCAGCATTTTTATACTGCTTCACTTGTAATCTTGTTGGAATAAGTAGTTCTTGGAGGAAACCTGCAAACTCATCATTTCTGCCTCTACAATCATGAATTCAAAAAGACAGTTGGATTTGAAGTCCTAAATTAGTCCATCTTGCAACATATTTTCTAGACAATTTATTTGAAACCTCTTCTGATCCGCCATATCTGCACCATTTTTGTAACTTTAAATTCCGCATTGGGATGAAATGGATTTGCATGTCAGCACAAGGTTTTTTGACGTGGGATCTGGTTTATTATTAGGATTTTGAGGTGTAGCTTTATCATACTTTATAAAGCCGCGGTCTTACCAAAACCTCGGCTTAAGCAAAACCTCATCCCTTAATATGTACTTCATTCATTGACCAATGATATATTGATCCATTTGAAAACAGGCAAAAGTGGGAAGGTTGATATACAAGGGTATGCTGTTCATAGTGGAGGAGAAGGAACTGCATCATGTAGCAGGCCATTAGAAGCAACAGCTGCGGGGAAGCCCATGGCAAATTTGTCTTCATCTAATATGGTCGAAGGAATGGACTTCAGAAAAGCAAAAGCTTCTGCTGGTTTAGCTTCTCCTTTTCCAGGATCTGGTGGAGCCATTGTGCCAGGTGGACGTGATGGTGCATCCTCTGAAATCTGGGTATGTGTTCCAAGAAGCCAAGAATCAGCACTCACAGAAAGGGGAAAGGTTATATTTTTTGCGTTTGTGTGTGTATGTGTGTGTGTGTGAGAGAGAGAGAGAGAAAGAGAGATAGAGAGAGAGAGAGCGAGGGTTTTTGATTTTTATATTGACTCTTCAGGATGACCGGGAGCGTAAACGTGAGAGGAGAAAACAGTCTAATCGAGAGTCTGCTAGACGGTCAAGGATGAGGAAACAGGTACTGAGCTCTTACTTGTACCCCTCTCTCAATATCTTTGAAACATTGAGAGTAGGCCTGCTTTACTGATAGTCCTGTTTAAGACTAGAATTTTGATAACTTGAAAAAAAGATCAGTGGGGGTTTATTCACCTAGTGTCACCATTAGACACTCCCCGATAACTAATTTGATCTGCCATCTTTCTCATCTTCTTTTGCTTAGTAATTTAGGCATTTGAACTTTGAAGATTCATAATATTGATGATGTTTGGTACTATAAAAGGATTTTATTTTCTTTTCTCCTTCAGAAAGAGAGCGAGCAGCTTGCTATAAGAGTAGAAGAGCTTAATGCTGAGAATATCGATCTCAAAAGTCAACTGAACCACTTACTGGAGAACTCAAAGAAACTGCAACAGGAAAATTCCATGCTGATGGTATTCTCGCTCACCTGAATTGTATCATCAATTCTTTCTGAACCGAGTTCCAGTATTACTTGCTTAAAGCAACTAAGAAAAAAAATGTGGGGGCTGAGTGGGTGCACAATTATTATCTATTCTACTTACTGTAAGCCACAGTAAAGGGTAGGCACAAATGACATTTAACTAACTAGAGTAGGAACCCATTGAGAGAGACCTTCTGAGATTTCTGCGTAGGATATCCATCAAGGTGTTACTACAAGTTGGGATTTTAGGGTAATCTAGTTTTCAATCCAGCTCAATCTTTTATCTCTTCTTCCCTATAATGAATATTGGGTAGTTTGATTGGAAACATATGGTAGGAAGTTCCATTGGAAGAAATAACTCTTTTTCTAATAAATAATTTATCTTTATGAAACTCAATGGGTAAATATCTTAGAGACAGATGTATGACGAGAAATTGTCTCCTAATTTGGGGATTATAAATTTCCTTGGAAATCTATTCCTCAATTCCCAAATTGTAGGTCTTTTTTTTTTTATAGAAAGTTGTTGTGCACTTGGTACCATTTTGAGCTTGCATGCGCCTTTTGCTACTGGTACTAGTTAATAAACTTTATCATGACTTGGTATACAAACACTGATATCTTCATTAGAAGCCAAGGTTTCCAGCACTACTTAGCATGCTAACACTGATATCTTTTTTAGAAGCCAAGGTTTCCAGCTCTCTTTCTCTCTCTCTCTCTTTCTCTCTCTCTGTAAGCTGTTTCCAACACTTGAATTTGAATTGAGGAGCTCACATGTTTTCTCTCCAATTAGAAAGGGTCTAAAACCGCATAATTTTGCAGGAAAAATTGAAGAGTGCACGACTAGAACATGCAGGGGATGTGGTCTCCGATAAGTCTGCAGAATCCCAAGTGGGTCGTCCCTCTGTTGGCTTAGAGAATTTGTTATCTCGGGTGAACAATTCAGGGACGAGTAGCCGAAACATTGGGCAAAGAGAGAATGAGAGCCATGAGACCAAGCTTCATCAACTTCTTGAATCAAAAGCAAGAGCTGATGCAGTTGCGGCTGGCTGAGAAGTAGAGTGTCCACTTTCCTTTTTTTTTTTTTTCTTAATGACCCTTTTCCACCTTTCTAACTCAGTAATTTTGGAGTTCTGGGATTTTGTTTTTCTAACCGCATCTAGGTAATTCCAGACTCAGATGATAGGGCAGACTCTTAACTGGAAAGAGGAATATTGTGCTCTTCAGAGGAGATCTGCGTTTTAACTAAAAAAGAGTGATTTACCACTGTTAAGTTTCTTACTCTGCTAGGTTTTCTTGTTTAAACTTGAAAATGGATTCCCTGGATCTGAGGGTGTTACTTCCTGTAAAGGACTGCTGTATATTGAGAATAATTTAGATTCAATGGGAGAGAGCTCGTGTAATCTTATCATCTGTATTTTGCTTTGCTTCGGTGTGTGTCCTGTTTTGTATCATTAGAAAGTTTATTATATATAAAAAAGAAAAAGTTGTCCATTTTTTGAGTTGGTTTGAAGTTTTATGTGCTCTCGTTGGACGGTTGGAATCGCGTACCTGTCAGCCACCTTCTTATGCGAGGTTGCTCTGTGAAAATTGCAGAAAAATGGAGAAAAGAAGGCCATAGATTTTTTTTAGTACTGATGGATTTGGGCGTACTTTATCAGCATTTGTATTTTATTATATTAGATTGTGCTAAATTGTGGCTCTATTATATTTTCACTCTCCGTGGTGTCGGTAGTGGTGGTTGGGCCATGTGGTGGTTTAAGTGGGAAGATGGAAAAGAAATAATTAAAATAAAAATAATAAAAAATATAGGAGAATATATTAGTTTTTAGGGTCTACGAAGAGTCCAATCTAAATATTTTTTAAAAGATCAAATAAATTCTTTTCTTTCAAATTAACTAAGTTTTTTTTAGAAGGGACATGTTTTTCTTTAAATATAATTTAAAAATAAAATAAAATAAAATAAAAAACCCACAAAAAAATTATCTTACCTATGTTTTTTTCTTCATCTCTTCTGTCCTTTCCAATCTCAATCTCACAATCTTACATAAATCCCTTAAACGTAGGAAGGCCTCACTCTTACAGCTACAAAATCTTATCTTCCATGTTTAACACAATGCATCTCGATCTTCACATAAAAAATTTTCTGTTTTACCTTTTTAAATTCCTACAATTATAAAAGACCAAAATAACTTTAAACATAAAAAAAATAAAAATAAAAAAACCTTGCATTTCATAAAAAGAAATTGGCGAAGTAAGAATATTTGAGGGCCGAGCCTTGCAAAATGTAGCAGTAGACATGGAGGTAGCTTTAGTTACAAGCATATCAACAATCATATTGGACTTGTAGAAGATGCGTGAAATTGACCTAGTAGAGCCACTCGAAGTGAGTTTGTTCCGATGTTCTGGCTCCTTGGCTTTGCTTGCAAACGAGAGAGGAGATAGTTGCAGTTATTTTGCACCAATGCTGATTTGGTTCTGGTTCGCGTGTTGACCTAATTTGGGAGGCCGTCAGAAAGAGGGATTTCAGCAACTGAGCGGATTTACTTCTTCTATGACCTGGGGCCTTGCATCCATCGGACCTTGGATTGAATGCAATAGTTATACCAGTTTGCAGCTCTTTGCGATGTGATTGCATTTAACTTGTCCTCGGGATGATCCAATACGTGGATATCGAGCTGTACTTCACTGGATTCGACGCTTCCTCTTCTTAAACCCTGTTTTTTTTTGCTTTTGCGGGCACCCTCTTTCCAGGAGAAATTTGACTTTAGGTCGCACCACAGTGCGTGCCCTAGGTCAAAATGACGAGGCTGGTGTGATCTAGAACATATCAGGATATGGGCTTTTCATGGTTCTAGCAGAAGGCGCCGTGGGTCCTTGAAGCTGCTCTCGAAACACGATGTCGCAGTCTACGTGCTTGGGGACTGGTTTGGTGAAGCCGCACTGCACTAGTGTGAAACCTACCTGTTGCGAGGCTGTATGGGCGTAGACCCCTTTCGGGTGGTCCGATTGAGCTCAAATTTGGTCCCCAGCGGTTTTTCGACATTCTGAATGCGATAGTGGTGATCTGGTATAGTTTTGAAGCCGCTAGCATATGGCTATAGTTGTAAGGTCCTTCCTTGGTGTGACAGCACTGAACCCAGGTCGTATGGCTCGAAGCTTTATTTTATGGCACAAGTTTGGCCTGCCGGTGTCTTGTGTACCCACAGGGCCAGGCTGTTGCCGACTCTCTCCTTGTTCGCATGGGAGGTGCAAGTATGCTAAAAATGACATACAACAACTTGCTCCGACGGATGCTGCACATCGAGAGAAGCAGAAGTGCAACATTCAAAATGAAAACTTTATCGTCGAAGTTCATCTGGTGAATCCTCACTAAGACGTGTTTATTTCATCTCAACAATTTTTTTTTTTTCTTCATCACCGGCATCGGCACAGTCCTTGAGGGGTAGACCTTGCTGAGCTTTTCCCTTAACCGGGAGGTGACCAAAGTGGTTTCTAGCAGACCGGTGCCTTGTTGAGGGCCATTCTCCGAGTTCTGCCAGAATATGTTTTCTTAGAGATCACGCTGATAGACTGACTTGTGGGGGCTTACGACTCCGTATCAACGAGAACTCTTGGTGCTCCAGCTGGTGGGTGCATTTCTTTGTGGGAGTTATCTCAACCTGACTGGTAAGAAAAAAGGGAGCCGGCGTGTGCCTTTTGAGGGCGTTATCCCAACCTAGCTAAAAAAAAGGGGAGCTGGTGGGTGCCTTTTGAGGGCGTTATCCCAACCTGGCTAAAAAAAGGGAGCCGACGAATGCCTTTTGAGGGCATTATCCAAACCTGGCTAAAGAAAGAGAGCCACCGGGGGCCTTTTGAGGGTGTCATCCCAACTTGGCTAAAAATATTTGGTGCTCTAGTTGGCGGGTGCCTTTTTTTGTGGGCGTTATCCCTAATTAACGGAAACTCTTGGTGGTGGGTTTATTTTGACAAGCAGGGTACCTCTTTAGTTCCCATCATATCTGGTCCAGTCGGGGGCTTTTAGTTGGCATGTTTCGAAAAGTCTGGGCTTAATAGGGAGGGGTTTTGAGGCGATCTCTTTGCTGAGGAGACTTCACCCTGCATGTTGGTAATGGATGTTGGTGGATGGCCTCGGGGCCAGAATTTTAAAAGGTGGCACAAGGGCCGGAAATTTAGAGGTGGCACAGGGGCCGGAATTTAGAGTTGGCACAGGGGCCATAATTTAGAGTCGGCACAGGGGCCAGAATTTAGAGTTGGCTCAAGGGCTGAAATATAGAGATGACACGGGGGCCGGAGGTTAGAGTTTGGCACAGGGGCCTGAGTTTAGAGTTGGCATAGCGGTCAGAATTTTAAAGGTGGCATAAGGGCCGGAGTTTAGAGTTGGCACAGCAGCCAGAATTTAGAGGGCACAGGGGTCGGAATTTAACGGGTGTCATAGGGGTCGAAGTTTAGAGTTGGCACAAGGGTCGGAATTTAGAGGGTGGCACATGGGCCGGAGTTTAGAGTTGGCATAGGGGCCATGGGCCTGAGTTTAGAGTTTGGCACAGGGGCCGAAATTTAAAGGGTGGTACAAGGGTCGGAGTTTAGATTTGGCACAGGGGCCGGATTTTAGAGCTGGAACATGGGCCGGGGTTTAGAGTTGGCACAAGGGTCTGAATTTAGAGTTGGCACAAGGGCTAGAATTTAGAGGGTGGCACAGGGGCCGGAGTTTAGAGTTGGCACTGGGGCCGAAATTTAAAGGGTGGCATAGGGGTTGGAGTTTAGAGTTTCGCAATGGGGCCGAAATTTAAAGGGTGGCACAGGAGCCGGAGAATTTAGAGTTGGCACAGGGGCTGGAGTTTGAGTTGGCACAGGGGCCGAATTTTAGAGTTGGCACAGGGCCGGAGTTTAGAGTTTGGCATAAGGGCCAGAGTTTAGAGTTGGCACAGGGGCCAGAGTTTAGAGTTTGGCATAGGGGTCAAAGTTTAGAGTTGGTTCAAGCGCCCTTGTGGGTTTTCACTTGAACTAGGTGGAAGTAGCGCCACGAGAGTGGTTTTCACCAAGTCCTTTTGTTGAGGCGTTTTTACCCGTGACTTCTAGGTCACGTCTGCCCTTTTGATTTTTATTTTTGCTCATGGCTCCCTTGCGGGTTTTCGTCATGCCCGGTTTTTTTTATTTCAGAACTCTTTTACTCATAGCTTCGTGGTCATGCCCGCCTGTCATTTTTACTCACGGCGCCCTTGCGTGTTTTCACCATTCCTGTTTTCTTTATTTTTGGGTGATTTTACCCATAGCCTTAGTGGTTATGTCTACTTGAAGCTCTTTTTCTGTTACTCACGATGGTTGCCATCACGCCCGATGGTTAGGTGCCTCGATCTCGCCTTCTGGGATAGGATGACCTGTGGCATGGTTCTGGGTTCGAGATGGACTGGAGACTTGAGATCGCTCTCTCGGGAATCGTGTAAGGAGGATGCAGGCAGGAATACCAACTGGTGAGAGAGGAATTTGGTCGTGAGGTGGGACTTACCTCATGTGCGTCCGTGACACGCTCAGGCTGGCTCGCATGGGCACCCTCTTAGATCATGTGGAATGCCCCATGGCCTGTGGCAGGTTTGGAATCGCCTCCCTTGACCTGTTTCTTCTTTCCTGCAAACACACACATACATTAAAAGTACAGACAAGTGGATCAGAGGACCCCACCTTGTCATAGGGTGAGCTCACATGTGTGTGTGTACTCAAAGATAAATGATAAACTAATGTAGTAGAGTTCATGTCAAATTGACAGCCTCACTGCGTCTCCTTAACGATGGCCCTTAGTGCATATTTTACAAACGAGAAAGGGAAAAGAGGTTAGATGGAGGAAAAACATTAGAGAGAAGAAACTTTTAGAGAAAAGAAAAAGAAAGAGAAGGGGATGGAGAGAGAAAAGAGACGAAGGCTGGTTTGGCTTTCACACAGTCCTTTAGAGAGAGAAGAAAAAGTAGAGAGAGAAAAGAGAGATGAAGGTTGGTTTGGCTTTCACCCAGCTCTTCAGAGAAAAATATTTTAAAAGAAAGAGAAAAGAGAGACGAAGGCTGGTTTGGCTTTTACCCAGATCTTCAGAGATAAAATGTATCTTTGGAAAAAGGAAAAAAGAGGAACAAAGACTGGCTTGGTTTTCACCCAACACATCAGAGCAAGAGAAAAGAGAGACGAAATCTGGTTTGTTTTTCACCTAGATCTTTCAGAGATAAAATGTATTTTTGGCAAAAAAAGAGAAAAGAGAGACGAAGGCCAGTTTGGTTTTCAACTAACTCTTCACAGGTAAAGAAAGAAAATATTTTTGTAGAGAGAAAAAAGGAAAACGAAGGCTAGTCTGGCTTTCACCAAGCTCTTCAAAAAGAGGAAGAAGAAAATGAATGAGAAAGAGAGTGAAGCTTAGCTTG